ACACATGCCAAAAACTGCTTGAGCATTCGACATGGTTATTATGCTCCCGAGATCATAGTATTTGGCAAACACTCAAGAATCCCTGGATCAGTACTCAGTGATGAATCCATACCTTCACCTGAACTTGCAACCCGGGAAGATCAACAGTTGGGAGTCCAAGAATTCAAAAATCTCCTTGCCATACGTGAAAGTGCCCGCAAAGTATTCCATGACGCTGACAATAACGACAGTCTTCGCAGAGCACTACTTCGTAGAGCATGCCCACATAGGGGAACATACGAAAAAGGTCAATGGGTCATGATATGGCGTGGAGAACCACCAAATAAACCTGGATGGATTGGTCCACAGCGTGTCATCATTCAGGATGGCCAACACACGGTATGGACCACCCAGTGTGCCAAGCTCTTCCGCAGTGCGCCAGAACACGTGAGACCAGTGTTAGCACAGGAAATGCCTGACTGTCCAGAGACATGGCCAGACAATTTGACTGAACTCGGCCGTCAGATTGAGACCATCAACCAAAGAACTCCTCAAGAAACAGCCGCCGAGACACCTGAAATTCCCCATGCACCAATTGATAATCCAATTCAAGATAACCCCAGTGCACCTGTCAATGATAATCCCCATGATAACGATCATATGAGTGACCCTGAAAGTAGGACACGCAGTTCAAGGAACACCGTACCTCAACCTGATCAAGAACCTGAGATGTCCCGCCACGGATCAATCATGCCTGAGACAACCGAGAGTCAGGAAACTCCAGCGGACACAGAGCTTTTGACATGTGTAGATGTAGACTGGTGCCTAACAGCTCAGGCAGGGGAACCTGCCACCGCCTGGCGTTGCGAATTCGACGTTCCACTTTCAGGTCATCAAACGTACCCTGAAAACCAAGTGGAAGCCTGGACCATGCTGGCAACCAGTGCCAAGAAACAGCGCTCTGAAGTAAAACTTTCTGAACTGACCCCTGCAGAAAAAGCTGAATTTGAAAAGGCAAAATGTCAGAGGTCCAAAGCCGGGTGCAAACCGGCACCGTGTCCAAGGTGCTTCGTAATCAAATCCCTGAGGATCAGATTTTACGTCGCCGATGGATCCTAACTTGGAAACCCATAGACACAGGTGAAGATATTCCCAACCAACCAAGTAAACCACCAAGAACCCACAAAGCAAAGGCGCGTCTTGTTGTTTTGGGCTACCTCGACCCAAAGTTGGAAGAGATTCCCAGAGACTCTCCCACGCTCAATCGAACATCACGCATGATCCTCTTGCAGGCCATTTCCAGCTGTGGATGGCAGCTTCAATCTTTTGATGTAAAGGCTGCTTTTCTTCAAGGTCAACCCCAATCAGATAGAGTAATGGCAGTGGATCCGGTTCCCGAACTAAGACAGATCATGATCTAGGCCCCCATCCTGTTGCTAAGCTTAACAAAAGTGCATATGGACTTGTGGATGCTCCCTTTCTTTGGTTTTGTTCTGTAGTGACTGAACTCACACGCCTGGGATTTGAAGCATCACCATTTGATCCATGCCTTTTGTGCTTAGGTAACCAGCCCACAGTGACCGGGCTGGCAGCCTTGCCGGAATTCTCGGAGTTCATGTAGATGATGGATGGGATCGGCGGAGGAAATGCCCTCTATGAGCAAAAGATCAAGGAGTTGGAAAAAAAATCAAGTTCGGATTCAAAGCTTCCCTTGCCTCCATCTTGCTTTCCCCTACGATGTCCTGGGGTATCTTCCTTGGGGGTTATTTTCCCAATCAAACCTTGATTAAAAGTCTGAAGAACAATTTCTTTCTTGCTACTAAAGGGTCCTTGGATGATGATTCACAAACCAGTCGACAGTTGCTTCAGGTTTTTCTGTTTGGTCACACTTGTGATTTGATTTACATCAGTGCACAAAAAGCGTTGCGAGCGCTTTGCAAATGGCATTCTAAACATTCGGATGTCCAAATTTCTGCCGATTCCAGTTTCATCAAACTCCTCACTAGAGCCATGAATATGCTTAACTGTGAAATTGTCTCAGTTGGTGCGTTTCAGTTTGGAGATACCCGATGGTCATTTCAAACACCGGTGGAGTGGTGCGAACGATTATCACATCATTTTCGGACTTGGTGGCGCACTCAAACAATGCAACACTGGTTGAGCTCTCACAGAAATGATGCTCAACTTGCTCGGGCCTCAGGTTTGACGTTGTCTCAAAAATTTGTGGAGCAGATCCACCTTCAAACTCGTGACCTTGAGGGTCATCAATGTTCCATTGCCTCCGGGGGTTTTGTCTCCGCTGCTAAATGGGAAACAAAAGATTTTTGTGAGTTTTGCAATGATCCTATTTGTCCTTCCACGGAACATGTCATGTGGTTTTGTTCCAGGTTTAGTTCCTTGCGTTTGCACCCTAAACCCCAATGCGGTCTTACCGCGCGCCTTGGATGGGGGCCACGTGGCATTAGCTTGCCAGTGGTCCAACAAATGGGACTCATTCGAGCCAGTGCTGTGAAGCTTCGAAAACAAAACCAGCGCCATTCTCAAGATTCTGCTGATGATGGCGTGGGTGATCCTGGGGGGGTTGGGGGGGGCCCTCTGCCTCCCAGGACCGAGAGCTGTGATCCTCTCCTTTTTCCGCCGCTGGGCGGCGGGCTACGGCTGCTACGGCGTGCCACCGTGCAGTTTCGAAGTCGGCGGGGTTGAAATCACTCAAAGAGGGAGGCGATCACAGCATTCACTTGAGCCAAGGCCAATACATCAAGAAAATCAATCCAATTCAACTTGATGTCAATCGTAAAACTCAACATGAATCTCCAGTAACAGAACAGGAACGACTTGCACTCCGTGGCATCATCGGGAGCTTACAATATGCAGCAACAAACACTCGACCTGATATTGCCAGCAAATTTAATTAATTATCCTTTTTGCAATCCTCCATCAACACTGCAACAATTGAGACATTACATGAAGCAAATCGACTACTTCACGAAGCAAAGAAACACCATGATGTTGCCGTTGTGATCAAACAAATACCCGTAGAGGACTTCAGGTTTATGGCATTCAGCGATGCTTCCTTCTCTTCAGCCAAAAAGCCAGATTCCCATGCAGCACTAATCATTGTAGGTACCCACAAAGATGTGTCAATAAATAGACAATGTCCTATTAGTCCAATTTCTTGGGGATGCAAAAAGATTCAACGCGTGGTGACAAGCACCTTGGCTGCTGAAACAACAGCCTTAGCATCCGCAGTGGATCAACTGGCATGGTTGAGATGGTTGAGACTTTTTTGGTCTTGGATCCATGAGCCTAGTACCAATCGGAGGGAACCTGAAACCGCTCTCATGAAAATTGCACCTGCCATCACGACTGCCACTTTCCGAGAACATGCAGACATCGCCGCTACTGATTGTAAAAGCCTTTTTGATCTCACCACACGAACAGCTCCCCCTTCTTGTGCAGAATTTCGGGTTCAGCTTGCAGCACGTGCGGTGAAGGAAGCCCTCCTTGAGGGAATTCAACTGAGATGGGTACATTCTGGTGCTCAGCTGGCTGATTGTTTAACCAAAGCAATGGAGGCACACTTCCTCAGAGAGACTTTGAGATTAGGATGCTACAAGTTAAGCGATGAAGCAGCAATCCTCAAAGAAAGGGCCAAAACGGAGAATAGAATTCGATGGCTTAAAGAACAAGATCATCAGCAAGAGTTGTCAGCCTCAAAAAAATAAAGTTTGGGAGTGTGATTCTCAAACCAATAGCTGATGATTTCCAGGTTCCACTCATAACCAACCCTCGAAATAACCAGTTTCCACTCTCTCTGAAGGTCACTTGAAAGCAGCTTCATTCCGCCAGACATGCGAGGCTCAGGGAAGCCCATGCGGTGGGCGGGTGAGGATTTTCCGTCGTGTCTTCAGCCATAGTGGACTGCAAAGCGACAGGGTCGCACCGAAACCATAGAGGACGAGGCCATCCCTTCAAAGCTTGGATCTTCGATCATAGCTGGCAGTGGGGGAAAAGGTGCGGTGCAACTCAGTGCAGCCGCAGGAGTAGGATCAATCTCTGCAGTTGACGATTGCGTCCAGCAGAGTGCGATTGTCTTGTTGACAGTGGCGCTACCCCACTTACAATACATATATGTATATGTTTATTTATTTATTTATTTATTTATTTATGTATATATAAACAAATGTATATATATATATATATGTATACGTATATAAATGCAATAGACACATACAGATGTATATATGCATATATGTAATATATAAATATATATATATATATGTATAATATAAATATGTATGTATTTACATATATATATATGCAATTTTGTATATTATATATATATATGTATCATATATATACATATGTATATATAATAAATAAATATATGTATATATATAAATACATGTATATGTATGATAAATAGATAGATATATACATATCTACATAAATATATACATATATACATATATATATATGTGTCTATATGTATATATATATATGTATATTTATATATGTATGGATGTACATATGTAAATATTTACATGTATATATATATATGTATATATGTATGTATATATATATATATGTACATATGTATATATATATGTATATATATATATATATGTATGTTTTTACTTTTTTTCAACCAAGAAGTTGCGATTTCAGGCATCCCCAGTCATGGTGGGTTTATGGTATTGGTTAATCCCACATGAATACCATTATTTTACATAATAGCTATTAACCAACTATTGGATTAACCCAATGTTAATTGACCAATTATTAAGCCCATTATAGTTATTCACCCAATAATAGTTGGGACGCTGTGAACCATTATTTCACAGCATATAATGGCTATTAACCATCATTAACATAATAACCATTATTTTTAACCATCATCAATCCCATATTTTAAACAATCATTAACATAATAGTTGGTAAATGTCCCAACTATTGGAGATCAATAATAACCTCTTATTGGTGGTTGAATCCCCATGAAAGTTTCCATCGCCCGAGGGTGCCTTCAGGGAAGCTTCGTTCTTTCCCTGGCAGTGTCCAGGGAAACCCTTGGAACATTGCCCAAAAATCTCATGGGGTTGATGAAAAACATGGATTCCCATATTGGATTATGCCCCCAATACAAAGCAAACTATAACATACTATAACCATTATAGTATGTTATTTGCCAATAAGGGGTAGTTTCACCCCCCAAAGTCATCAACTACAGTAACTGTTGTCCAACTGCTCAGGTCTCGGACAAGTCAAACGAGGTCTGTTCGATCCTTTCAGTCTTATTCCTTTCTGATTCTTGGGCCCAGAAAAACTCAGGATCTTATATATCATATTAAATTAATATATTATAATGTTGTATATTATAATATTCTTTCGGACAAACGGTTTAAATTCATCTTTCCAAAGGATCACTTGGGCCTTGTCCACTCCATCGATTTTTGGGGGTACCCCAAGTCACCATAGGTTTCAATACTAAGTCATGGTCTTATTCGGATGATTTGGGGGTACCCCCATGACTTCGGAAACCTCCATATTGTATGTGATATACTGTATTGATTAATAGATTAGTTATGTTCAATAATTATGGACCAATCTCATATCACCTGTTATCATAGTGGGAATTTAACTGATATTAATATAGCTTATTTCACTGCGAGCAGCCCGGACTCCGTTGAAGACATCGAGCAACTCCGGTGATTGGAGCCCAGGATGCAATTTTACCGTGGATGGGAATATAATATGATCATAATGATACTTCATGGGGCTTATAAAGCAACTTAGAACATCTTATCACTGGGCGGACCCATCTTGTAGCTATTGTGATTATAATAACTACCAAATAACTATAGTTCATCTTTGGATATCTCTATAGTTCATCGGGTTTACAAAACAACTTAGCTAACAATGATCATGATCTGGATGCATGTTTCATAAATCACCAACCTGAACAAACATGCACTCTTGGGGTCGTCGCGAGGTGAGGTCGGCATAATTTATCTGTCTCGACACATTTTGCATTTATTATAGAATCACATACATAGACGATCGGGGGAACAATATGGAATAATCACATTAATTGAAATGATGCAGATATAGATATATTGCGCGGTATAAAATAAATGGCAGTAATTCCGAACCCTTCTATGAAATGCGATGAACAAAAAACAACGAAAAATTGTCCCCAGCAACTTCATCCGGAGGATAGTAGATAGACACAGACACTTCACAGTGGATACTGGAAAATCCACAGCGCCTTCAAGTAGGCACGCAACCGGCTTTGCGCTTGTGCAAGAAGGTGTTGCATATCCTTCGGGCTGAAGTTGGAAGTTGGATATGGAAGCGACACACCGATACTGCGAGGGATAAACAAACAGTAGTATTACTACGGGATATGTTCTTGCAAAATGCATGTAATTATATGTATACATATATTTGAATATATCATTATCTACATGATGTACAAATGATTATCTATAGTATGTTCGTAGATGAATGGGAAGATGGGGGTATAGAAACACCTAGTTCATGGCCATATCTCTAAGGGATCTAGGTGTAATATCCATGAAAAAACATTCTTGTAGGTGCAGCTCCACATGATCTAGGTGTTTCTAAAACCATTATAGCTATAAAATTATAGTTGCTGTTTGTTACTGCATGGGCCCCATATTCCAACCATTTCCAACTCCAATTGCACCCTCAAGTCCCAGTTCAAGTCCCAGTTTTGACTCGTTGAGGCCCTGACTCCTTGCTTCTTGCTGTCCTGAACTTCCAGGTACCAGCCTGGCGACAAAATGGGGGGTTGCTTGTTTGAAAATGGATAGAAAAATGAAGAGAAATGATGATGTTGGGGATTTAGTGATTTGTATTTTAGCAAGTGAAGGGGGTTTGAATGGAGGCAAGCGGGGATTTAACCAACAAAAACTGGGGTATAAAACTAGTCAAGGTGTGGATAGTGGATATATATATATATATAATATTAAATATTCCTATTGTTATCGGCATTATTATTGTTATTACTATTTATTGATATTATTATAAGTTTTTATAAAACATATCACCAACACAACCCCAGTATATGGCCATGTGGGATAATCACATATGGTCAATCTTCATATGTGCCGTGGTCAAAACGTGGTATGTGGGGTATGGTCACATCCCGTCATGGGAATCCTCTCGCGGCCAGCGAGTAACTCCTACTAATGGATTGATCATCCCCCAATATGTGCAATTTACAAATGTTTTGACCATGGCAGACACGGATGTGACTCAAATGGATTTCAAATGGGGGATCCCCAGCAATTTTGAGAAGGACAATGATGATAAAATGTTGGATCTTGGAGTGCCTGATTCATATATGGACAAACCCACATATGTCCTCCATCATATCAGCCCTGTCCCGGGGAGTCACTGTCTAATTTCCTAGAATCAGCCAAGAATGGCGTAGTGGTAGTATCACCCGAAGGAAAACCCGGCATTTGGATGCATTTGGGGTGTTCTCCTCCTCTATTGGTACGACAGGGCTGGCTGTGGTTGGAATTGCCATATTCATACCAATTCTCATGTTTTGTTGCTAAAAACCACATCGGTAAATTCTATTCCTGCTATCCCCATGTTTGTTTGCTAAACCCCTATCATAGGTTCTTTTCGTCGATTGAACACACATGTCCACAAACACAATTTTCTTGGACGAGTTCTTCTCACCAACGGCATTTTCAATACGTTTCGCCCACTTTGGTCATCTCAGATACAGATCAAGGACACATTTTCTCAGGGTTTACCCTCCTTATGCTCCATGCAAAGAAAACAGGGTTCCTGGTTCCTGCAAAAGTTCCCACGAAAACCAAAGCCAATGAATGAACAAATGATCACCCTCCATCAAATTCAAAACAATCATATGCAGACTCCCCCTGGTTTCCTGCGAAATTTAATTATCCTGGCAAAAGACCCCAAGTAGTGCGCGGTTAGGATTCTAAAGGGAAAGGTCCTAAGGTTGAAAGGACCCAAAATCATCAGTGGCTCCAAGCTAGCAGGACAAGAGCGACCCTAGTAGTGAAAGCAAGGTGTTCATTCTCAAGGTGGTCTCTGGAAGAAGAGATACCGGGTTAGATTCTGCAAACTGCCTTTGTGAAGATCTGTAGAAGATTGTGCGCAAGATTTTCTGGACAGGTTCTCTGTAGAAGCTGCTGTGCAAGATCCCTTTGTAAGGCTATCTGTACAAGGTAGCCAAAAGAGCGTAAGAGATCTCAAAGTAAGATCCCCGCTCAAGTTCGTTGTAAAATATCTCTGAGCAAGATCTCTGTTCTCTTCACCAGGTCTCTGCGCAAGATCTGTATAAGAGGTCTCCTGGCAAGATCTCTGCACAAGATCTCTAAAGAGCTCTCTTGGCAAAACCTCTGTAAGAGACCACTTGGCAAAACCTCTGTACAGATCTCTAAAAGAGGCCTCTTGGCAACATCTCTGGACAAGCTCCCTAAAAGATGTCTCTTGGCAAGATCTCTTGACCTCTCTATAAGAGCTTTCTTGGCAAGATCTATGTCAGAGACCTCTTGGCAAGATCTCTGCAGCAAATCTCTATGCAATGTCTCTGTGCAAGATCTCCACAAGGTGTCCTGGCAAAATCTCTGTACAAGACCTCTATAAGAAGACTCTTGGTGAGATCTCTTTATGAAGTCTCTGTATAAGCTGTCTATAAGAGCTCTCGTGGCAAGATCTCTGTGGGGGTCCTATTGGAAAGATCTCAGCAGATCTCCATGCAATGTCTCTGTACAAGAGCTCTACAGGTCTCTTGGCAAGATCTCTGTACAAGCTCTCTATAGGAGCTCTCTTGGCAAGATCTCAGTATATAAGAGCTCTCTTGGCAAGATCTCTGTACAAGATCCCTGTAAGAGGTCTCTTGGCAAGATCTCTGTACAAGCTCCCTAAGAGATGTCTCTTGGCAAGATCCCTGGAAGAGATGTCTGTAGGAGTGTGTACAAGAGCTCTCTCTGTAATTTTCCTCTCTGCAAGATCTCTCTACAAGATCACCAAAAAAACCCTATAAAAGCTCTCTGTACAAGATCTCTGTAAGAGGTCTCCTTGGCAAGATCTCTGCACAAACTCTCTCTAAAAGACCTCCTGGTCAAGATCTCTGCGCAAGATCTCCTCGACTATCAAAAGGAACACCGCACCACAACGAGAGTGATCTGACAGGCCCAAAGTGCTGAGTGGGTTGCGAGAGCGCGCTGAAAATGAGCACCGCACCGCAATGAGAGCGATCCGACAAGCCTGGGCTGCACGAGCGCGCTGAAAATGAGCACCGCACCGCAATGAGAGCGATCCGACAAACCTGGGCTGCGCGAGCGCGCTGAAAATGAGCACCGCACCGCAATGAGAGCGATCCGACAAGCCTGGGCTGCGCGAGCGCGCTGAAAATGAGCACCACACTGCAATGAGAGCGGGCGATCTGAAAATGAGCACCGCGCCACAACCAGAGCGATCTGAGAGGCCAAAAGTGACGAGAGGGTTGCGCGAGAGGTCTCCGGGCAACCGTTTCGCGCGAGACTTCCTTTGAAAACGGAAGGTGAAGGAGCTTTTGTGCTGCAAGGGTCATCAAATTTGCCGCCCATCGCGGAGACCACCTCGAATGAACACCGGGCCTTGACCCTTACGTAAGAACCCAAATCTGGCCACACTGTTTGGGGAATAAATGGTGGTTTTGCAGGTTTTTTTCATATCTTTACAATACATTACATAATTGTTATTGATTTACTGGAGGGTATTATAAAAATATGGCCAATCCTAGATAGCCTGCAAAAAAAGGCTGATTCGGTCAATATATCCACCCTGAAAACGCCAAAGCTTACCATCCCTAAAAATGACATAGATCCTGCCATGAGTTGGGGGTCTGGAGACTGCTTTCCAACCTCAAGATGGGTGAGAACCTCAAGATCAAACTTGATCAAACCTGCTAGTTTTGTGGTGTGGTAATTATCAACCAAAATGAGATCCACCACAAAAGAAACTGGGTTAGTAAACATGTACACCCTTTAAGGCAAGAGTCATCCCTCCAAACAAACATAGGCCCTGCCATGACTTTCCCAGTTCATGGAGTATCAACAAATCCTATTTATGCAATCCCTCCAGGTGCCCCAGAAACAATGTCTTTTAGTAGGGGATGAAATCACATAGTATTGACCATGGAATAGGGATGTAACTATAGTCATCCTGGAATAGATAGAACATGGGCATGTTAAAAAAATACCAACTCAAATGGGAAGATCTTTGAAAATCCCATTTTCTATCTACTTCAGGATGACTTCATAAAATGGGAGATTTACATAAAATTACTAGCAATCATGGAGATATAACATGATATAATGGTATGTAACCACCATCAACGGGTGGCGTGCCTTCGACGGCTGCCAGCAGCAAGGACATCGTGGAGGCGTAATTCATACGCTCCAAAACCTGCCATGACTTGACCGGAGAACGGGAACATCTAGGAGTTTCAGTGGGAAAAAATGGGACTTCGGACTACAAAATCATGCAAAATTGGTGCTTTTTGTCTTTTCCGGGAAAACCAATGAGTTTCTATGTAAGAAATGGTGGCTTAATTTTAAAATCCCAAATTTGCGGTTTCTTGAAATGGGGGGGCAAAAGCATGGTCGTTTCAGTCTTAGTTTGATGTAAACATGAGGATTATTTGGTTGGCGCCTCTATGTAAAGAACCTACCTACTAAACGGGGACCCCTTTCTGATTTGCTATGTCTAAATTCTTGCACATGGCGCAAAATTCTAAATCATTTCGATAAATACCTTTGAAATATTCTAATGACATGCTATGTCTTAATTGAATCTTCATTGGTATGGTTGCTTAAAAACAAAGGAACTACTGAAATTACTAGCCGAGAACTACTGCTTTTTGGCCACACCTCAGTCTTCATGATCCCACCGAGGCTTCGGGATATATCCAAAACACTGTTCAGCGATAACCCCATAAATATCCATAAAGTAGCGCAACATGTCCCTGATGTCCCCATCATATTTGTCAAACATGCTGTTAAGACTGTTATGCTTAGTTTAATATGTGACCCGTGTCTTCTCGGGCAAAAACAAATTCTTTGATGCTTGTCCCACCCCAACTACAGCCACCATGTCACTCGGAACCACCCTGCCGTATTCCCTCATCTTTCACTGCTCGAACTTAGACCATACTGAAAAATCATGAAATTTCACCAGCCAACTCCAATTTTTTTCCTCATGGTTTACGCTTTAAACTATGCGAAAACCCCCATCCCCATCCCGAGGCGCGGCCAAGGTACCCTCCGCGTGGTCTCCTTCTGTGCTCCCTGTGCGGTGGCCAACCTGGAATTCATCTCCTCCACCTGGATCCGGGCGAAAATGATTCCACAAAACCATCGTGCTTATATCGGTTTTGATGTGGGGAGAATACATGAAAGTCTTGATTTATCTTGATTTCCCTATCAGATAATTATATATATATATTTATTAAAAAAAAATACATATATATATATATTATATACATATATATATATATTTAAAAAGTAAACAATATATTATAGATAATATATATATAAATTATGATATATATATTTTATATAAAAAATATATAGCGTATATATCAGATATTCCAAATATTATGTATATATAAATATCAATTTGACTTCAATGATCGGTGCCCAAAACTCCGTGGAATTGACTGCAAGGGCTCCTTGTGAAATGAAATATTCCTACATGGTCAGTCCTCTAGATCACCAAACGACTGGTAAGGTTTCGTGACTAAAGGTGGTTGTTACCCTCACCATCGAATGCATGATTCATGTCTTAAGATGTCGTAAGAAGTGCGTTCAACGATACTCATCTACTTCTTCATCTTCTTCCACTGAACACTCGTCTTGGGTCTGTTTTCCGCGACAAGCCTCGAGACTGACCCTCTACGGGACATTGAATTCAACAACTCGGGAACATGGGCATGTAGAAACCCGAGCCAAGTAAACCATTGAGCCTCAACAGAACCAGAATAGAACTGCAGCAGTACCTTTTTTGTTTCTGCCGCCTGAAGCAAAATGTATCAACAACAAGATGCAGCCCACGAACCCGAATGCTCACACCTATGTTAATGGTACAGATGTCGAAACACATAGAGAGGAAAACCTATTTCGTATCTTCGGCCCAGCAAGATTGTGCGATGAGGACGCTAAGTGTGAAGTTAAAAGTGTAAAGTGTGGAGCGCAGTGTAGAGTGTGGAGTGTAAAATGTAAAGTGTCGAGTGTAGAATGTGGAGTGTAAAGTGTAGAGTGTAGAGTGTACAGTGTAGAGTATTTATTTGTTTGATGTGTTTTCAGCTGCAGCGCTTGAAAGTTAAAATGACCCTGATCATGTTACATGTTCACACGGCTTCCGCAGTCAGCTGTACTTTCTTTTTACGATTGGGACGATTGGGGACATGTCTGAGCACATTCGTTGTCGCGCTCTGGCTCCTGGGTAGGCCAGTAAAGCGACTGAAAAACTCGATGCTGATATTGCACTGGTCACTTGAAGTTCAAATTGACCAAAGGTAGGCGACGGTGGTGCTGAAAGAATTGTTGAAGACGTCGCGTCAACTGAAGGAGTTGCATCGTAAGAAGGAAATTGAAGTTCACCTTCACCTGATGCAGTTCTGTAAATATGATCAAGGATCTGAGAAGCCACGGTGAGACTTTGGTCATCCATATAGTCTGAGAGCTCGATGATTCCGTCTTCACTGGCCTCCAGTCTGCTGATGTGGCTCTTGGTAAGAAGCACATGACGGAGCATTGATTGCAGGTTTTCATCCGGCAAGGCATTCATTGCATCCAAAAGTGGGACGGGAAAACGTAGTGGGTTGGGACGAAAATGTGTGAAATATTGAGTTGAAGTTGCTTGTTTCCACTTGTTTCAAACTGGGACATGAAAAACCCTGTAACATGAATTAAAGTCATGTGCTGGAAATGAATGTCATGTCCTTGCAACTTCAAACTGTCCCTGCGGCACTCGCCGCTTGCTTCACTCGAAGCTTGATCGGAAAGTGCCATGGTGAACAATCATGATCAACGACAACTGAAGCACTGCAGAAACTCAGTCATGTTCGTTTCTCTGAAAAATATCAACAAATAAAAATCTATCATGTTCCACAAGAGAGAATTCTTATTTGTTTGATGTGTTTTCAGCTGCAGTGCTTGAAAGTGAAAATGACCCTGATCATGTTACATGTTCACACGGCTTCTGCAGTCAGCAGCACTTTCTTTTTACGATTGGGGACATGTCTGAGCACATTCGTTGTCGCGCTCTTACCCCAAGGAATTGGCAACGTGCTCCCACAATTCTCTGGGAGAGACTCTAGCTCTCTGCAACCCTCGCCAGGCAGCAACTTCGCTTCTGGGCAACTCATCAGAGGGATTACTTTGGCTAGGCACTCGCTCTAACCATATGGGGCAAAGAAATTCCTCTTCAACTCTGAAGATTTCAGCTAACAACGTGTTGCACGGGCGGTTGTTGGACCATGTCTTCAAGAAACCGCCTCGGACTGCCTCGCTGTCAGTGAAAGCAACAGTCCATCTGCCTTTCCATTTGGGACCCCAAACTGTGACTGCGATTGCAAGAGACAACATTTCAAGTTCTTGAATGATCGTCTCTTGGTCGACCGCTTTGATCAAATCAACAAGTGATTGGTCAATCTTTTGGCTGAAGAAATCCAAAACGGTGCCGTCGCTGTCGAACAGGACACCTCCTACTCCTGAGTAACCTGTGTCATCAAAGGAGACGTCCACATATGCATGGATGTGGTCTGACAAAGACCCTACGATTTTGCGGGGTTTGTCCATACTAAGTTGGTCCCGGATGCGAGTTAAGGTGAAAACTGTTTCATCACTCAGGGCAAGTCTGCCGCTCTGAATGTGCATCGATAGCAACTTGAGATGATTGCGGGCCGTCCTCCCAAACAGCTGTCCGCCAGCAAATTGCAACCTGCCTCTCAGTCTCTCACCCTCGCTCCTCTTGAGTTTTCCATCCTGTATGACTCTGTCAAAACTTTCGCACAACTCTTGCACTCGTTCAGCAGTGTTTCACACGGTGGTCAAGCTGTCTCCTGACATGCGCATGTCAAACTCCACTCCAAGAACTTTACATATGGTGCTGTAGTCAAGGAGTTTCTCTGTTGAAAGCTTCCAACCCAGCATGCTGAAAAGGGATGTGACTACCAAATCGGTGTGTCTGAAGGTAGGTTCTTCCACCAGGAAGAAGAAATCGCCAAAGTATGACGTCCAAACCAACCGAAGAAGTTTGGTGCCCATTTTCCAAATAGCGTTGGCCACTCTTAAGAAGGCAGTAGCAGAAGCTACTGAACCAAAGGGTAGAACTTTTTGCTTGAAGATTTTGGGACAATACACTACCAAGTAAGAGTCATTTTCAAAAGCATCTGCTAAATCCCACGTTTTTGAGAAAAGCTGCACATCACAGCCAGTTTCTTCGGATGCACGGTCTGCAGGGTCCTATTTTTCAGGCTTCTTTTACAAAAACCTCCGAGGGTCTTTGGACTCCTACCGTTATATTGTGTCACGAGCTGTACTTGCACTCGCGAATTGCCCCCGGGAAGGAGTGCTAAGTGCTCGGGCTAAAGGTGGTAACGGCTTATGGGATGGCCATTGTTGTATACATTCAAACTCAGAGACCATAGGGGGCAGGCCACGCCTTGGCTCGATGTCGGTGGTTGCCCGCATCGTCTGCAGTGTGGTTTCCTGTAAGGCGAACATTGGTGGGCTGCACACTATCTTTGTCAAGCTGTGTGACCAACTTGGCTGCGACAGCCAAGGATATGCCGTTTCCGCTGAAGTTCTCCAATGACCGTCGGGGCTTTGTCCCCAGGGTTCATGCTTGTGGTTGTTATCACAAAAGGGCTCTAGCTGACTAAACGCTATCATGTTATGAAGAATTTTGGTTAATTTTCGGCGGGAGCTTCCGTACTGGCAGTGATGAAAACAAACTTCTTGCAAACAATGACGCTGCTGCAGCGCAACAGAAGGTGTAGTCTGCCACATGAATGATTTGCCTGGATTTTCCACGGCGAAGTAAACGCCGAGTTGCATGCAAAGTTCAATCAAATCACAAGTGGTTTGGTACAACCTGTTGGCTCGAGGTGACTCGGGAAAGCAAAGTCCCTTCCAAGGTTGGCAGCCCATTAGGGTGCCGGTCTGTTCGGAGGATGGGAGGATTCCATCGTCCCTTCCTTTGTATGAGTCTTGCACGGGAGCTTGTGCCACGGGGTGGCGCGAAGTGTACAAACAAACAAAATTGGGAATTGATGTACAAGGGCGACGTGCTCTGGAATCAGCAAATCGAACTTGATGATTGGGCTTCTCAAGCTTGTGGGAAGTTTGAGATCGATCCCAAAGCTATCACGTATAGGCCTAATGATCGTAGAGAAGCGGTCAGGCGACCGGTTCCTGCAAAAACTTCTATATAGAAAAATTGCCAATGTTGGAGCTGGTCCGAATGCTTCGATTGGATGACTCGGGCAAAATTTCGCTGCCCTGTGGGATTTGTCACTTGTGATGCTGCAAGCTGTGAGCTTTTTGGCAAATTGGCTCAGCACACAGGTGGAGGCCACGCTGGCATCCCTCCCCCAGTTGAGCCTCTTTGCGACCCTGCTCCAGATTAAAAGCCCGGCACAGCGTGTCCCCATTGGATCTTTGGAGACTCTTACCGATCAGACCTTCCGGGACATTGGGCCCACGGCCGCGTGGTCGACTGCCTTTTTTGCCTTGGCCCTTGCCCCTTTCATCTTGGTGGCGTTCTGGATTTTGCTTCCTTCGTGACTTTGGCCTTTGGCTGGGGCTTCTCTGGAGCAACTTTTGCTGGCAAAAGCAATAGATGGAAATTGACTGACGGATGGGCCAACACCTTCTTGATTTCATTCTCCGGTCCAAAGGTAAATTTCAATGCTCATCTCTCGCTTCAGTGTTGTGAGCTTGTCGGCCATGTGCAACCATGCAGCGCGATCAGCTCGGAGGAGCTGGGCGAGGGTCACATTGGGGTATCCAGGCGGTGGAGCTGTGCAGATGGTCGAACAATCCGGCGTGGTACGAATTCATTGAGTGGAATCCGCACACCTTCGCTATGTCGAAAGCCATTGCTCCACGTCTCAGTGCATTCGTTGCCTCAAGCTCTGTAGCAGTGGAACAAGGAAGCTCCAAATCTTTGTCACGAATGATCAGAGACGATTGATAAATTGATATCTCCTTTGGTGCTTTGCGCAAGAGCAACTCGCTCCTCCTGGTTGCAAACTTCTTAGGAGATAGATACACTAGGGCATCCTTCTCGACCACGTTGAGCACTAGATCGTAGGATT